GCCTCATGTTAGACGATATCATGGACCGATCGCTAGTTCGCCGAGGCAAACCATGTTGGTATCGATATAATGATATAGGTGAAGCAGCCGCTAATGATGGCATATTCATAGAGAATGCAGTATATTACATAATTCGAAAACACTTTAGTTGCAAAGAATGCTATGTCAATTTACTAGAAGTATTCCAGGAAGTGAGTAAAGATACTTCTTTCAATCCTAAAAAGCATATCTTGTCAGCGTATCTTTTCTTTTTCAATTGAGTAATTATTTATAAATGTATTTTGGCAGATTACATTTAAGACATCAATAGGTCAGTGCTTAGATATGTTATCCAATTTCGGCAAGAAGCCTGATCTGAATCTATTTACGATGGATCGATACAAATCTATTAGCGAGGGTAAAACAGCGTGTTATACGTGCATTTTGCCAGTAACCGCAGCTATGCATTTAGTAAGCGTACCTCAATTTCGTTATATACGAAAAGACTGTTTTACTTTAATGATAATAATACGTTACGAGATGTTACTCGATGTAGGCTGGAATAAAAGATCCAGAGATGTTCAAGCAAGCAACACCCGTCTTGTTAGAGATAGGACGCTTTTTCCAAATCCAAGATGATTATTTGAGTTGTTTTGGGAATCCCGAAGTACGTGGTAAAGATGATACTGATATCCAGGAAGGGAAATGCACATGGTTCATTGTCGTAGCTCTTCAACGCGCCACTCCGGAGCAACGTAAAATATTAGAAGCAAGTATTGTTTGCTAAACGTGTTGGTTCACCAGATGTTACATTATCCTTGCTCATCTTTGTTTTTTTATCCTGCAGGAGTGTTACGGAGTTTCGGATCCGGAAAAAGTAAAACGAGTGAGACAGCTCTTCACTGACTTAAACCTGCTGGACGCTTATTCTACATTCGAAGAAGAAACATATAAACTTTAATGTACACATACAGCAAATATCGTGCGGACTTCCGCACAATATCTTTTGGGATTTATTAGGGCAGATTTATCGCAGGACGTCATGAAAGCATTATCAGACTCTTTCTCTTCTCTCTCTAATGTATTATTTATATCTTGTCATTAGAGATTCAAAAGTTAGAATAAATTGTATTTCTGGTGTAGGTATTACGAGATGTTAGTTTTATGTTTTTAAAGCGGAAAATATCAAGACCTTATTTTGTATACAAAAATCACTTCTATTTTGATTCAAAAAATCAATAAATCGAGTTTCTATAAAGCATTTAATATAATTATTTCTTAACTGTTTCCTTATAATGAATAATTTTTACGTTTAACGAAAAAAGTTAATATTTTGTAAGGAAAATATTAATTATGGGAATGTATTTTAAATATTGCAATGTATTTTCATAAGTCCCTTACAAGATACTTATGGAGATTGTAAGGAGAAAATTAGAAATATTAAAAATTACATAAAAAAGATTTTTTAGAAATAATATATTAGCATGCAAATATGTGCGTATATTAGATATAATTTGCCGTACACAACCCTGGTAAAAATTACCGTTAGAAATGGAAAGAAACGCATAGTAAAACAGTCAGAAACGGATAGAATGCACGTTCTACTATGATGTTTTACTATGCGTTTCTTTCCGTTTTTAACGGTAATTTTTACCAGAGAATGTAAAAAAATTTTTTATTTTTAGATTATAGACATAATCAACAGGCTAAATTAAATAAAGGCAGAATCGCTTTAATTATTGTTGTATTTAGCATTCAGATGGAGACATAAGAGTCAATTCTTCAGCGTTGGATTCGGAATTTTTTCGTCGCGAATTCGAGACGTCTCCGCTACTCAGTCTTTCCATTTCCGTTGTTTTTTTCACAGTAACATTGATCGAATTTTCAGGATCTTTATTAGATAAAGCATTGTCTGAAAAAAAAAATAAACAAACATTTATTAGATGACATCCTCATTATTATTTCATGACAATTACTAGCTCTTAATTTTCGTAATAATTATCAAACATACCATAAAGAATATCCACGATACTCTCTTCTTTCTCAATCAGACGAATGTATTCGTTGTTGGCAAGAATATCGAAACTTCTCACGATGTCGGAATTAAGATGCAACAGCCAGAATTGATTTCTTTCGTGATTCAATCTTTTCGATAGTATCTCAATACCCTGTGAACATCACACGCATTTCGAATGAGGCAATGCCGTTTACGGATTGATAAAAAAAATTATTCGATTGGGGAATGTTATCCGTTACCTTAATTGAAGTATAATCGAGACTGGTAAATTTTTTGCAGTTCACGATCAACGGAACATCGTTTCCAGCCAAACTCATGATTTTATTGCAGAAGGAACCTACTGCGGGATAATGGAGACAGGCGTCGGGTTTTAGCATTATGTATCTATTTCCTAAATGAGTCTGGAAAGGAATAAATAATCTTAATAGTTTCTTTTTCAAGTATTATATAGCCTGGATATTTTCGTATTAGAATTTTTGTCTTAAAGTGTGACCAAGAATTTGTTATTAAAGTATTTATATTTAGTTTAGAAACACTTGTATGACAAAGTTGTTGAGTATATAAAAGATATATATATTTTTTCTCTTTATATAATTGAAAAATTCATATCTTCATATCTGTTAAAATAATTTGTATGTAGTGTAATATATTTATATAATTTTACTTTGCAATTGGTTGTTTGAAGCGTTACTCTCGCGGACAGTCGGATGAAAAGGATCAAGTTGAAGAGGACGCCCAGAAGAAGTCCGATTTCGATGCCGATAAGAACGGAGATCACAAAGGTCCCCATCGCCGCGATCGCATCCAACTCTGCGAGAGAAGCAATGTATTACGTAAGCCTGTCGCGCTCCGTCTCTCTCGTCTAATCTATGCACACACGTGTGTAATACTAACTGCTTCCTTTCCAGAGTAATTTTATGATCTTCAGGTCGATCATGAAAAACACGGCGATTATCAACACCGCCGATAGCGTCGCACGTGGGATGTAATAAAAATACGGCGTTAAAAAGCTCAACGCCAGCAATGCCATAGTACCTGCGAAATGTCATCCGTTACTTTTTGTCACATCGTTTTCTCGTACGGTTATGTGACCTTTCGTATCATCATACAATGCCTCGCTGTGTGATGCTGCTATAACACGCTGTCGCGCCAGGATTAGAATCGTAAATTTCTTTAATTATGCATGAGATATTAAGAGTGTTGCGTAATAATAATAAATTATGATAAAACGTGTAGCAATAGGCATGCAGATTTCCTACGTCGCTTCCCATGTTCCTCGTGTACGAAGGGAATGAAGACAATTGCAAATTTAAAAAATAATGTTATTAATAGATTCTCTACTACCGGAATATAAACCGGCCATAGGCGTTTGCACTCCGCTGGCACTGCCGACCGCGCTTCGAGTAAAGGCACCGGCGGTTGGCAGAGACGACACGAAGCTGCCGAATATGTTGCTGAGACCGAGAGCCAGCATCTCCTGCGTCGCATTAATGGAGGCTCCCATCGCTGCAAGAAGCCCAAGATCATTTTGAGATCACGAGGTCTCGCTTATTCACTTAGCAAAATATCCAATCCGAAGGATTCTATCCATAGAAGAGATCGCGAGGGAAAGAAAATATCGGAGACACGCATACTTAATTAGTATTTTATCAGAACAAATTTCTTCACTTGCTCTCCTTCACTTTGCCTGAAATATTGTAAGAATGTGAATCCCCAAAACTGAAGATATATATATATATATATATATATGCGTTAGATATTTTTTTATAAAATATAATGAAATTAGATTTTGTTAAATATAATAAAATGATTTTATTACATCTTGTTTTATTGTAATTATAGGCAATCCGCTGTCCAATTAGAGACTAGAATTATTAAAAGAATTATGAAAATTGTTACCAAACGCTTTGGCTATTGCTACGTTCGCTAAGACGGATATAACAGGAAGTATCCCTAATCCTATTCCGTAATGAGTACACATGTCGACGAACGTGTATGTCTGATTTCCCACTTGCGATGAGAAGGGCGGTAACGATACTTTAGGAAAGCCGGCTTCTATTTTTCCTGCAAGATTAAATTGCGTTTCATAAAAATACGAACAATATGTATACATAGCGCACATTTTTAAATAGAACCGTTTAATATAACTGTAATTAATTAATAAGGAAATAATGGCTAAAAACATAAATTATCCAATTTTAATAATTTTACAACTATACTAAATGTAGATTGTTTTGTGTTTCAACTTTATGATAGGCATCACTTTCAAAAATTATTTATTTAACGAATCGATTGTCAATAACAAATAATAATTACAAATCAATCGCATAAAAGAGGGCATAAAGCCGTAAAAAGGTCTTCGTGTTAAGATCTTTAATAAATAAAAATTTTTTTTACAAACGTTTCAGCCAATATCTGGCCATCCTCAATGTAGAAAATAAATTACCGGATCAACTACCGCATTATTACCGCATTATCGTAACGCACGCAAACCCTCCAAACTGTTACAAGTCATTTTTTTAATTAACGCATTGTACGAGAGGCGAGGCATATAGTCCTTCTAACATATTATCTAAGAGCGCTACCCGCCTACATTTGTATTGCAAGATAATATGTTAGAAGGACTATGTGCCTCGCGTCTCGTACAATGCGTTAATTAAGAAAATGACTTGTAACAGTTTGGAGGGTTTGCGTGCGTTGCGATAATGCGGTAATAATGCGGTAGTTGATCCGGTAATTTATTTTCTACATTGAGGATGGCCAGATATTGGCCAAAACGTTCGTAAAAAAAAATTTTTATTTATTAAAGAACTTAACACGAAGACCTTATTACGGCTTTATGCCCTCTTTTATGTGATTTATTTTTAATCGTTAAAGCCTTTTATACGTATAATAATAATTAGTCCGTACCTGAGAGCCTAAACGGAACGGATCCCGTATTTTTTTCGAATTGATACGCTATCGTGGCTGTAATAAGTACAACGAGAGCGTTTCTACCAATGGAGAAGTACCAAAGTATCTTTTTTATCGTTGCATTTCTAGGAGTATCTCTCTTGTTTTTCGCGCAACGACAGTCGATGTCTTTCAATTTCTAGGGATAGAGACACCATACATATACATATTATACTTTTGCAATTATTAGAAATTGTTCGCTTATAATTCGGGCACTCACCCTGAAGACCAAAAGAAACACGATGCTGAAAATCCCGAGTGCGAAATCGGCTAGCCGAATGTTATCAATATTCTTAAACAGTTTGTACAAATTGTCTACGATATTTTCCGACTTATATTTTAATCCTAGAAGGCCCTGTAACTGAGCGATTATTATAATGAGAGCTCCCGCCGACATGAAAGCCGACGTGACCGGGACTGATATGAAATCCACCAGGAATCCTACAAGAATCACGTCGATTAATATTGCACCGACGTACTTAGTCATAAACAATGCAATAGAACAGATGATAATGGCAAAATGTGAGCGCAGAAGACAATGGAAAGTTAGTTGATTAGATAATTTCGTAATACAAACCTAGATTTAATACGCCCATTAAAAATTCTACGCATCCAACCAGAAAACAGAGCAGTATTACGAAATCCTGCGGCATGTCTCGCGTGTACTGCAGCGTTAGAAGGGACATCAAAGACGATGGACCAATCGAGACCTCCTTAGTGGTTCCGAAAATAATGTACACGAAACCGCCCACAAAACAAGAGTATAGACCGTACTGCAAGCATCACTTGTCACATATGGTATTTTTAAGAACACAGAAATACATCGTAGTATCAATAATATACAGATTATACAGTAGTATAGTACCTACTAAAAAGATCTTAGAACCATCTAACATTTAAGAAAACAAGATTTAAAAGTGCGTTCTTTGAAGCGCAATGATCTCAGATTGAAATTTAAAGGAATATATATGTATGTATCCACGTTTCCACGTTTAGAGTCATTAAATAGATAACCGCTTATCTTCATAGTCTAAATTACGTTACGGCGAAGAAACTATAATACCTGCGGAATCCGTTCAGCCAATACCGCATAGGCCATACTCTGAGGGATCATAGTCAGGCCCAGAGTGATGCCCGCTATAAGGTCCGACACGGCCTTCAACCGGGTATATCGCGGTAGCCAGCCGAGCACCGGTATGTATTTCGCCACCGTGAAACGTGGCTTCCGTTCCGAAATCGGAATCGCCGGGTACTCCTCGTCGGACATCCTCCTTGTATCGACGAGACACGAGAGCGAGACACTAATGAATCCACCGCGAACTACTTCGCTCTCGTGACTTCGCAACCGCAAGCGTGTTTCAACGCCCGAGCTCTCGGCACTCTCCCGCGTCTCGACACTCCGCGCATCTTATCATTGCCGCGTGCGTCTATCCCTAAAAGCTCGCTGTAAAAATTCCCGCGTCAAAATCTCATTAATTGCGCAATTACTAATTCCCGTCGGTTTTGTACTATGCGCGCTGTTGACAATTTGATAAAGACCCGCGCAAACGGTTGTCAGGAACCTTGACGCGGGATTAACAACAGCTAACTTTGCAGCTAATTGCTTGCTATGTTTCATATTTGATTCTCTCGCGATACGACGCAAGATACGTGGCAGGCTGATCCCGACGCATGATCCCTGAGATTCCTCCTTTTTTTTAAACATCTCATGAAAACGACGGGGAAAATAGTAGATGTTACAAGAAAAGTCGCCTTCGTTGCCAAAATTTTATTACGTCTTCGCATCGCTTTTTATATCGTGCGAAGAACAGACACATAATTGATGGAGCGTGAAGTGCGTAAGCGTTCACAACACGCCGTTACTCGATACAGCTAATTTGGAGATTTCGTCGCGCCGAAATCCTCTATAAACGGTCAGACATTTTTTAATCGGGAGATAGTCGCGCACATGGCGGGCACGTCATCGCGCCACGCGCGTTTCATTTCTATCTTTCACCGCTCTGCGTAGAACGGTGAAGCATCGCTAGCCTTTAATTATCTATACAAAAGGAAAAGATGTCGAATAAAAAAGTGAAAAGTGAAATTGAAGAAACGCTGCGACGACTCGCGTAATCTAGTAATAGTAATATACATATAATAATATTAAAATGACAACAATATATAATTAATCTTCATAAATAATAATAATAATAATAATAATAATAATAATAATAATAATAATAATAATATATGTGACTGACTCGATAGAATCTCTAAGTAAAAATTCATTCCATAGCGGAAACATGTCCAGTTTTATCTCGCGTTTGTAAAACACGACATTTTCGCAGACGGTCGACAATTTAGCGTAGCTTCTTGTTAACTTGTTCGATCTGCTCGTCGATCCTCTGGGAGGTACCCCTGAATTTGTTCGGCTCGGGTCCGATCATCTGTATAAGCTGTGGCACCTCTTGGCCGCTGATCTGCGTAAAACGCGCCAGAGACTTCATACACGTGTACAGCTGTTCCTCCGCGGGACTGCCGTTGAAGTATTGCAGCAACGCCATCGTCAGCTCCACTGCGACGTCATCGAAAACCTACAGTTCACACATTAGAATATTTAAGATCATACATCTTACTCACACGAGAAACAAACATGTGAATGAAGATATGATTGTACGACGCACGGTGTCAAGCTAACGATTATCTAGTTGCAATATAAACTGCGATCGCGAAAAGCTTGAAAGCTCCATGTCCATCTCAAAGTTAATTGACTTGAGTTAATCTTTTATTTCCTAGTAATCACAGGAAAACAATTACACACAGTTCTTAATTCTTCTTTCCGCGAAATGTGTAATGTTTTACATTGCATTAGATTTAGAACTAAGCTTGGAAGCATCGCCGTTACGTGAGTTTTCCGCAGTTTCAGTAAATGTTAAGATACGAAATATTATCGAACACTCACATGTTCAGCAATGAGTTGCGGTCGTCGCGCACATCACGTTATATGTATGTATATATGTATATTACGCGCGTGTATTTGATGGCACGCCGGACACCGATTAAAAGTTGACGACTTACCGCAGCGCACGGTTCGATTTAACATGGATTTGGATAGGTACCTTAGAAATGCTGCCTTTCGGTAAAAGTCGCCGCAGATTTTTGCTTTTGTTCATTTTCTGAAAAAACAGTATCCGATTTCTGGAAAGGTATCCGTCACACGCAGCGCTATCCGCTGCCGCGCGATTAGAGAGCTTCAGTGTGCGCATGCAAACGAGCATCGAGTGAGTCATGTATCCTTTGAACCGTTCTCTTTTATTAATGGCAAATATGTGTGTGTTCCCTTTCATTTTCTTTTCGTTGCTGGTTCGTGGAATCGGGTTACCAGGCGAGAGACGTCCACGTCGACGGTCGAGTTTAGCATTGACAGCGATTTACAGAGCTGTTTTCTAATACTTATTATTTTTTTATATATATTAATAAAGGCAGCACTTCTTTCTCAGGACACAGTGCGAGCTTGTTCTCTTTCGACATCGGCAAGCACGCATTCCGAAAGCGACATTACAAATGAAATCGCGCATCGAAGGATTCGCTTTAAATGTTAAACAATTCCGATTCATATTCCTTCTTCGTAAAATAAATAAAATTACTATACAATGTAAAGGAAAATCCTTAAAATTGAATAAATTATAGAATTGTGATCTTCGATAAGATGCCTTCGATACGCGAAGCGCTTGCAGCGATGAGTTACGAAAGTGAAAGCGAAAATCGGCGAAAGATGAGCGAGAATGTTAATTGGACGGGAAGGATACAGACCACAGTTTTTACCTCCTTGCAGGCAAGATTGTGGATGATGGCGGCGCCACGGATCTGCAGGTCTTCCGAGTTCGAAAGCAGCGAGTGCACCGCAACCTTAGTCGTCACCCTTATGTTGCTGATGTTGCTGCTGACGTTCTGATCCTGATGCTGCCACTCCGATATGTAAAGCAGCCATTCCGAACTGCTGAGATTCTCGAACATATTTGCCAACTGTTCGAAAACAATTAAAGTGCTGACGTTAAAGACAGATATAAGTGACAGCTAGAAAATTATAATATGAATCAATGTAAAATTGTAATAAGATATTATAATAATTGTTAATCTAATAATTTCGTTTGTGCTTACAAACTGTGCGAGTGGAAGTTGCTCCTCTAGCGGGTGCCGGTCGATATCGAAGGCGTATGTCATGATGATATGCTCTCGTCTGTCTTGATGCAACAACAAAATCACATCGTCCTTCAATGCGGCGACGGACAGCACGTTCAACAGTTTTACTCGCACGTCGCTGTCTAACGATTTGTCATAGAGAACTCGACCTGAATTCAATTCAACCGAATTAATTTTAACATAACATATCACAATATATATGTCGTACTTTTAAGAGCAAATATAAAAAACCATCTCCCTTTTTCATACTATTCAACTTAAGTATTTTATTAAAGTTCAAAATTTAATCGAATAAATTAGATATATTTTCAAATTTAAAAGACTCGAGAGCTACGTATTATTTCAATGACTCACCAACGAAGTTCAGAAAATTGTCGCCTAAAGCCCAGGAACCTTCGTCTTCCAAGACATATTGCCGCAGTTCATCCAGGCACCTTTGTTCCTCTTCGTTTAACTTCCCCTTGAGGGCGCTTACCAAGCCTTCATACTCCGTTCGCACATCCACCAGGTCCTTGAACACTATCGGTGGATCTCGACGGCGTTTCTTCTCTTCTTGCTCCCGCTTCTCGTCCTCCTCCATCTGTAGCACCCGCTCAGACGGAAGCATCTCCGTGGGCGCGTTTTCCCCATTAGCTGCCTGCTGCTGCGCTTCGCCGACTGCATCTGATAAACAATAAATATAAAAATTTTTCAAATATTTTCAAAATTTCTTAAGTTTGAGCATACTTCTTCAAAATCATTAATTCAACTTTCTTTTTCGTTCAATTTTTGCAATTTAAAGACGTAGAATCACAACAGTTTTATCATCCTTAAATCGCAAAATATAAATGAAGAAGAGAATATCCGCAATATAAGATGAAGATAATCGTCGATATAATTAAAACTCTGCGTACTCTCGTTCTCCGCCATATCTCCGCAGCAATTGCTCGGTCCGGTGCTGTTGCTGTCGCTGCCGGTGGCTTCCCTACTGCACTTTTCTTTCTTCTCCTTTTTCTTCTTTTTCTTCTTCCGGTCTTTCTTCGCTAGCTTCTCGTTAATGACGTTCCTTCGTTCCTCTAACGCGATCGAATTCAACCTGCGAGCGTGTATGAAATTTTTGTCAAGTATTCATAAAAAACTTAATCGATAATCACACGCGAAACTGTACCTTGCTTCTTCGATGGCTGTGTTTAGAAGTTGATACTCCGGTGAAGCTTCCCTCTGGATCCTCGCCTCGACGAATCTCTGGCCGACTGTGAATCCAGCACTCGCGTTACTGCTTAATGTTTCTATCAACGGGCCTAAAGCTTGTCCGATAGGTCTGAAAATAAATGTAATTCAGATTAAAAAAACATCGCTTTGAAATAAACAGGTATTTTTACGCAATAAATATAACAGTTATTAAATATCAAATCGTGATAGTAAATATAAAACGTACGTTTGTAATATTTCTTCCGGTAGATCAAGGATAAACTTGGGAATGCCCTTGCCCACCAGGAAGTTGCTGACCTCCTCGGTGAAAGAATTACAGTTGTGTTTGAAGAGATTATACGTGCCCGATCTGAAGGAACAAAGTTGTTTGTTAAAAAAAAAAAGAAAATTATTGTGCTAAAGAAGACTTACATTAGCATATAGTCGAAAGATCCACAATGTTTCTTCTCCCATTGGACAATAAATTATAAATCAATTTAAGGTAACATCCTTTTTATTGTTCGTATTCTCTGTCTCATCTTTCCTGTATTGTTTTTACATATAACGCGAGGGTGACTTATTTATTATCACTAGCGGATTCTGACGTCGATAATGGAGGGTGCTTCGACAAAATTATTTGGTTTGATATTTTTCGTATTATCATAGTATCACGCTCAGCTTTTACTCCAGGATCAATGACGATAACATGGTGAAACTTCTTATCTTGCTTTAACGTTTAATGCATTTTTCCCTTAAATTTTTAAAACAGATCCAGCAAAACTAATTTTGTTTTATTTGGAAAATCCCCCCTAGGATCCGCTAGTATTTATTATCATAAAAAAAGACAATTAATTAAGATATCGAAGTAAAATTAGGTATTAGATAACAAAGCCTGACAATAAGAAAATAAAATTAAACAACAAAATGTCAAACGTGTAATTTTCAAAAAAAAAAAAAAATAAAATCGAATAATTTGCAGATAGTAAATTCAAACAAATCTTATACACAACAAAATTTAAATTCCCCACGGAAGAAGATCGTAGAAGCAACATTCCTTCAACAAATTAACGAATAAATTTACAGAGAGGGAGAGACGGGACTCAAGTTCAAAGCGGTCGCGCTTTGAAAAGTAACGAGTAAAGTAAACGAAGGTAAGTAGAGTAAAGTAAAGAAAAAGTAATACAGTTTAAAGCAACACAGTTGCGCATAATTCGTCACATAATTCGTCTTGCCACAGTTTCAATTACAAAATGAGGATACAGAAGATGCGAGTTGCAGACGAGGCAGCTTCCCACGCATACACAGACACATACGCATCTCGGCACGCACGCATCAGCCGGGAATACTTACGCGAACGTGGAGGTGCCCAGGCCGTTTATGTACTCCAGGAAGACCGAGTAGGGCAGGTAGGTCTCGCCGAGCTTCTCGACTCTCTGCGGATCCCGTAACTCCGTGCCGCCCTGAAACACGAAATGCCGGCGGGCGGTCGCCGTTAAAATCGCGTCCGGGAAAATCGCGCCGTACCGTCAATGTCAATTTCGCGGCAGCTGCGCCGATCCGGCGGCGGCCGCCGGTTTCGTTCGCCGGAGAGACAGGAGAGAAAAGAGAAAGAGCGCGGGAGCAAGAAAGAGAGAGAACGAGAAAGGTAGCGAACACCCGCCTCCTCCTGGCATTAGTGGCCGCGTAATTTTAGAACTACGACAAATCTCGCTCTTCGCCGCGAGAAATCGCCGAAAATAGACGCCCGCGGCACGCGTTGGAGCCGCGACCTCTTCTAGAACGCAAAAGAAAGACGCGGTACGGCGGAAGTGAAGAGACGGGAAGAAAGCGTCTATTATGCGCGCCGAGGGCTGGACCTCCCGAACGTAAAGACGTGTCTCGAACGTGCAAGTTTTTACACCAAAAAATAGTGGAATTAACGCGATACGTTTTAACAGAGACCAGAAAACGAGATTACGTCCGAGAAATAGGAAAATTTAATTAGTTCGCGTCAAATCACACCGGAATGCCGTCCTCGATGAGAATGAAAGGGATCAACTGGAGAAACTCCGCTGTTCAGGAGTCGAATACGCGTTATCTAATTAGCGCACTAATGTCCATTTCTACCAATGTAGATTAACTTTAATCGGTTTAACTTACTTTCCATCTTTCTCTAGTTCTAAGAATTAAAAAAATAATAATAAAAAGTAAGTTAATATGTTGGTTGAAATGGACATAAATCGACCGATCGCTAAATTCTCCAGCCAAACTACTTCGAGAAGATCAAACCTATGTATTTGAAAGTATCACGGATATATTATTGATGTTTTAACAATGCATCACGGAAAAAAAAGTTTTGCTGCAACAGCAAATCTATTTGTTAAATATGGGACAACTAACATTTTTTGCTGCAAGAGCTAATTAATTTTGCAATAATAGCAAAACCTTTTGTTGTAATAGCAAAAAGTTTTCCTGAACTTTGCTATTGCAGCAAAAGATTTTGCTATTATTGCAAAATTAATTAGCTCTTGCAGCAAAAAATGTTAGTTGTCCGTATAGTAGCAATTTTTTCCGTGATCCTTTTCTAATTGAAGAAGAATCATTCACGAAACTGTACAACTATTGTCTCACAGATCCGCGCTCTAAAACCGCACTCGCTTCTCCTCTCTCTCTTACAACGTCACTCGATATATCCGCGAGACCTCCACTTCCGCCGGCTACGCGACGAAACCGGAAACGCGCCCGTGTTCGTGCGAGCACTTACGAATCGGAAAGACCTCGCGGGATCGCGGAAGGCGATCGAACGGGTGAAAAAGTGCGGGACCGTCCTTCCTCGCTCTCTTCGAGAGCGCTCCCGAGAGCGGGAAACGGCTCGCACGCGGACTGCCGATGCTCGAAGACGCTTACGGCGAACGAGACGGAGACGCCGACGTTGAAGGATGAGTGCGTGGCGCGCGCGCACTTCCGAAATTGCGATTCGTGCTTCTGAAACCGCTGGCCGAAGGTGCCGTTCGGAAAAAAGAGATACTTGCTAGGAAAAGAACAGGGTCGCTTGTTCAAGCGGAAGCTTATCGGATAAGGTGTTGGTCGCATAGATCCCGATAAATGTAACCGATCGTGATGGTGATGCTGATGGAACCCGAAGAGAGTCAGACTATGTCACAAGGCAAGCGATATGCATCGTGCGGATGACGAAAGGAGGAGATATCTTCTTTCTTCTGTCGCAAGAGAAAGATAATTGTTATGCAGATCGTAACGCCTGTCAAGCTTTGCCGAGGAAAATTGGTGTGATACGTAAAAGGAAGCATAGGAGATACGGACATGATGCAAAGATAATCATGTTTGTTGCTTGAACTGTAATTAGATGGGCAATAAATTAGAAACAGCTCGGTTTGCAAATAACTGATCAGCCAAAACCACACTGTTAAATATTAAAGAATAAAATTTAAACCAATACCTTGAGTTAAATAACATTTTGTATCATTTTTAATTAACATATGTGTCGAAATTTATTATAAGTTAAATTAATGACATATTGAGTAGGAGCAGTGGCGATCTACAGGAACGATTAAAATTGACTCAAATTGAGTATAATTTGGCACTACAAATTTAACAGTGCAATTGTAGAATTGATGATAAGGTCGTGTGGGTGTCTTGAAAATACATGTTGACAAAATGTCTTTAACATATTCGGTGCGCATAGCTGATCGTCAAGTTTCACAGCGGGTACCGTAGGCAGAAATGAGTGTGCCGGTTACATCGGTTTCACGCGACGTCATAAAGCGACGCGCATTACAATTACGCGCGTCGTTAGTCACGCGCGTGTCCGCGCGTATTTTCGTCAGCGTGAATAAAGTAATGCGGCCGTAATGAAATCATCGCGTTGCTTTTGGACGCGCGTCGGTTGTCGCGATTATTGCTTCCGCGACATCGCCGGTTGCGGTCGCTCCAACTCCGCACGGAGGGATCCACGCACCGGCCAGAGGGAGATTTCATAATTTTGCGGTATAATTTTAGCACAACATCAATTTAACTTTAATATGACTCTAAGAATACCAGGCTCTTCTAGGACTACTAAAAAAAAAATTGCGCGGAGTACTAAATACCTTCGCATTCTATTAAAAAATAATTTAAGAATAATTTTTGTGCCAGAAAACTTGGGGACCTATTTATACATTCAATACACATTACATAGCAAAAAGGTAATTAATGACACGCAAGGTCTGAGAAGCGTCGCATCTCAAGTCTTGTGAACTTGCCACTCCCAGAATCAACCCTTCCACTATCAAGAGGATTTCAATTGAGTTTACTCGAGAGGGATCTTAATCTCGAGTGACTTTTGTCGCTAGGCCTCACTCTGTACCTTTGAACGCATGAAAAGACCCATGAAGATACTTCATCCGAACTCCAGTAACGCGGGGAGAACTATATTCTAAGATAATTTCACTATCTGGCTCAGCGGAGGGTGGACCAACTGCGGCGATTAGGAAGCAATCACACGGAAATCATCGGGGAAAATTGTCGCATGCAGGATGTAAGCACGGACGGACTCACCTTACCTTTGCCTTACGTCGAGTCTGAGCGCGTGGAGCGTAGGGCAGAAAGGAGAGCGGCCGCGTGAGATAAAGAGAGAGAGAGAGAAAGAGAGAGAGAGAGAGAGAAAAAGCGGATGTGTACGTGCACGCATGCACGCGTGTGTGAGGGTAGACGTGTACGTGTGCGTGCAGCGGGAATTATTTTCGGATTGAACCGCACCAAATTTAGGTTCCCGCTCGTGTCTAGCGTATCGTATGGCCCGCCGAGCGACTCCGCCGCTCTACGACTAGGCCTTCCGATCATCGGCCGCGACTTCGACGTGGCCGATAAGCCCCTGATAGGTGCACCAAGCGCGACGGGAAGCGGCGGGACCATTAATTCCCTCGGCTCGTTGATAGCGCGGCCCCCAGGTTATTTATATTGCGCTTGTCGCGCGATGACCCCCTCTGGGTGGCGGTGATGCCCGACCTGAGATTGTTAATATTCCTGCAGCGTATGTAAACGAAAAGGGGGAAAAAAACGTTGTCACGTGGGAGTGGAACTCAAGCACTGGAAGAATGAATCAGGTGTTTATTCAGCAAAGCGAGAATTCTCGCCCCCGTGAGCTTGGCGGCAGGACGCGGTGCTTACTAATAATGTTGATACTGGCCGGGAGTTCAACCGCTAGTCGATGTTCCTAACGCGCGGGGGATACTCACGAGGAGGAAAGAAAGCGCTCGGGCGGAGTATCGAGTACGGCACGACGGGAACCACCTGCGTGACTGAACGAAAACCCGGCGTTGTAT